CGAAAGTAATAACTGCATAAATACCTATTATTTTTATTACTTTTGTGTTTTCCTTATTTTTTATTGTATACCTAATATTATTATTATATTAAACCTCGTTTTTAACATCCCTCGAAACAGTCGTAACACATATTTGACACACTGATGTAAACGCACACATTGTTTATAATTAATACTGTACGTACATCCTATATGCCTATAATATWAAATTCAGTGATAACACAACACGGACTTCCGCGAATTGATTAGGTTTTGCCAGCCGACCCACCCAACTATATGGTATATAATACCGAACGGCATTGGACTGTACGTGGCAGTTGGCCTGTACAATATTTTGATAACCTCAGTCGTCTTTCGATGAAATATATTTCAGAATATTTTTCATTGATCACATAATAATATAAGATTTAGTAAAACTGAATTATTGTATAAGGTACATATACCTAATCGGATGATATAATTATAACCATTGATTATAAAATGTGCAAGTAGGTACCCATACCTACTTATTTATTATAGTTCATATTTTGTATAATCAATTATGTTAAAATGTATAGATAGATAGATAGGTAACTAYATAACTTATTAAATTAAGCAAATTAAAATAAACCAGCAACACCGATAAATAATAATTGTAGACGCAGGTACTGAGGTACACATCTATTACCTGATTTGCTCGAGCATTACCTAAATTATAATATTATAAYGTTAATTTGGTATTTCGTCCAACAATTAACATATTCTTCTGAATAAATTGACATTTATTGTTCTATGGTTCGGTGTCTTATACCTTTAGGGTAGTTTCGTGTTATTGACACTTCGTTTCATGACCCTTAAGATCAGAGTATTCTTTTCTAAAAAGTCAGTGTGACAGACTTTTTTACTAATAATGACTTTGGGTGGGTACTGGGTAACATACTAGATGCGTATGTTATCGCAGTACATATTTAAAAAACGGCTATTTTTATATTCGAAACGCAATATCAATCCAAATTTAATTTATTATTTGAAAACTATGATATTGAGGCTATAGGTATGTGTTGGGGYTTCTTGAAAAGTATGAGTTTAGAGAAATGCAGGTACGAGTAATTTTATATGAAAATGCATTGTTATTAATTAGGTCAAGAATTTGTTCAGTGTAAGTTCAACGTTAACTAAATTTACTAGTGATTTTATAAATTACCTATCTAATAACTATATGTTACCTATATGTATTTGTTTAATAATACAACATAATATTTGAATTTAATACCTTAATTTTTATTCTTATTTTTTCATAATCATTTTATGAATCATGAATTCAAATTTAAATTAACTGCAAAATTATCATATTAATTTGTTATTTTTGATGTTGAAATGACCAAATGTAATTCCACAAAATTATTAGTTACCTATACGTATTGTAGGATGACGGATGAACATTTTGAACAAATAATTTTATTAAAATTAAGTATCTACCTAATGATACGATATATTTTAAAACATTACAYCTAAGCCAATATTTTATAAATTCAAATTATTTTATTATTATTATGATTTATGGATATATAATATATTAATAAAACTATTCATAAAAAATATTGAAGTATTACTTAAATACTTTTAAATAAATATTTGTTTTGGGATCACTTGGGATTCGCTAAAATTAGGTAAGCAGAATATTATATTGTGTATTTACAAATATAAAATATGTTTTGCAATGATGAATTATTCCAT